AATAAGGTTTTCAGAAAATTGAGAGAAGCATTAAACGATGAAGTTGGGAGCCGATATCTGAAGTGTTAATTTAAAACTTTACTCTGTATTAAGTATATTTTAATTTCCTTCTTATTTGTTTTTCGTTGTTTTGGCCACAAGCTATAAAATGGATGCCACAAACTTTCTTTAAATGGAACTTTTTCGTAAATGCCTAATCACAGCTTAAAAATCCTCATTAAAATTTTTACTCTGAAGCGTCACTTTTCATTATCGATGCTCAATCGATTAAAACCAGCCGGTGGGATATACGATGCTGGATGAGAGTGTACAAACGAAATTCTTTAAAAATAGATTTGTGGGGTCACTACGAATACCTGCTGCAAAAGAAAAAAGTGAACATGTAGGTTTGGGGGATAAGTGAAAATTTGAAATTATTCTTCAAATTATTTCAGTTAAAATTACAAAACCGAAAGAGATGAGACGTGAAAACAATTTTTTTTTAAATAAATACGAGTTGTTGTGAGTGTCCAAAAGTGAAAATGTTATTGTGTAGTATTCACGTAATTATAATAACCTAAATGAGTATCTGTCTATATTTATTTGTGTACACTATTTACATTTATTATTGTCCTCATCATTGTTGCCATATTTATCACAACATTTCGGCCATTTCCGGCCTTCTTCAGGTGGTTAGAATGTCGAACTGAACCCTTTATGTCGCTCGCTGTCTTAGTTTCACGTACTATGTCTAATGGATGTCAGTTATCAGGACACATGGCACAGTGGATAAAGGCGTTGGTTAGATCCAGTGACAGGACCCAAAAAGTTGTAAGTTCAATACCTGGTTAAGGTAGTGGAGAACTTGGAGAGGTGAAATAACTGATAACTGACATCCATTAGACATGGTACGTGGAACTATGACAGTCTACCTCAGTGATCGAAATAAAGGGTTCAATCGACATTCCAACCACCTGAAGAAGGCCGGAGCGTACAACGGCCGAAACGTTGTGATAAATATGGCAACAAAGATGAAGCTTAATGAGATATATACACAAAGTAAATGAAATAAATTGCTCTAAATGATTGTTTATGCATCGAAAGTTTGAAAAAGGAACGCGAAAATATTACATATAAAAATAAAACCAACGGAAAAATGCTAAAGGAATGTGATTCATGATTATTTATAAATCTTAGCAGAATCCAGAGAAAATATTTAAATGAACAGTCTGTTGATCGGACAAGAATATTTTTACTTTTCTAATTGATTAGAAAAGATAGCCAACACACATTCATTACCTATAAGCTGTGATACTACTTTCGCACAGAATTTAGGCTCGTATTAAGGATTGTATAGAGCTATCAGCTGCAATATTTATGGTATATGATAAAAATATCATTTTAAGGCATACTATGTTTATGTGTAAAACGCACAATTTGATAGAGTGTATGTAAATATAAACATGAACACAGATCAACATCAAGCGGCGACAGGCTTCGTTGTTGACTTTAGTGTCCAATTTTATATATACACTCTCTCTCTCTCTCTCTCTCTCTCTCTCTCTCTCTCTCTCTCTCTCTCTCTCTCTCGTGTGTATGTATGTGTGTGTGCTTGTGTTTGTGTGTCATTCTCATCATCACCCTTCGGCCTAACTGTGGTTGGTCGGATCGCTATTAACAATTCCTTACCTGACTGCTCGGTCTTACATTGCCGTCCCCAGATACCCAATGAGCCATGGTGTCTGGGAAGTCTACTGGACGTCATGATAGTTATTTCAGTACCTGATACAAAATGTGAGATGCCAACCATACATACATGTGTTTTTATCGAGACACCATCTCTAGAAATATTGTCACCCAAGAAATATTTATATCAGACAATATTGAAGGAAATTCTTCAAACTAATAAAGTTTTCATTAAGGAAATATATATATATATATATATATATATATATATATATATATATATATATATATATATAGCATAATGAGAAGCCACGTATACTTTCTTAATATGTATATATAGAAAAAGTTGTAAATTAAAAAAATAATATTTTATTTTATGAAAGTATTTATTTATTTATATATATATATGTGTGTGTGTGTGTGTGTGTGTGTGTGTGTGTGTGTGTGTGTGTGTGTGTGTGTGTCAGAACTTAAGGTAGGGGAGAAATACAAGAAACACCGGTTATAATTTACAGTAAAATTTTAAAGAAATAATCAATTTTGAATTTAAACCTTGGTGTCTGTTGTGTCTAAATGTTTAACGGAATTAGTTGTATCGTTGTATATATTTAATTTCGTATCGTTGTATATGTTTAATTTATTTAATATATTTATAATTTTGTATCGTTGTATATATTCAATTTATCAAATATTAATGTTGCGTTGATGTTTTCATATTTTTATTATATTACACACTCTTGATTTCCAAAAGTTTTTTACAATTCTGGAAAGTATTACCGAATTTCGCAGCAATTATGTCGCATAAATCAGTTGTATTCCTCAATAAGCAAATCTGAATGAAGCATCAATTAGAAAATATTGATTTTATTGAAAGAACGTCTTCAGATAATTTTTAAAAACATTTCCTATATAACGGAATTAAAAGCTTACAAAATCTACAAAAAGAAATAAATAATTTTGATAAAAGTAGGCACGCAATTCTAACTCACTAAGGACTAGAACTGAAAAGAGTTTATATAAATTAATATAAAAATGTGTTAAATTTGTTCAAGACAACAGGTATTATAAAAGAAACTACAAAATGTCCCAAGAAATGCAAAGGTGAGACATGTAAATAAACGATTCGATGAACATACCAGTGATTGTTTACAAAACAATACACTCAATGCATTAATTGTTCATCGTAACAGATCTGCTGTCTGGATTAAAAATTTTAAGTGAACTAATTTAGGAATCCTCTACGGTAAATTCACGTTTAGAATAATACAACATATATTTCCTCATAAAATTACTGCTAATAAAGCATGCAATAATTAAGTAACGATAAAAAAAAATAAAAGAGCTAAAAAGCTGAATGCGATAAGTTAAACATCTCCATACATCTAACTTCAAAATTTAAATCTAAAATTTAGCGTTTCTGTATCTTAAACGTTTCTATATATACTGCAACCAGGTTTTGTTGCCTTTTCACCGTCAATTTCCTCTCATATACAAGATGGATTCTATCAATGAAACTATTCTCTGAATAAGTTCCTTCTCAGAACAGAATGCGTCGCTAAAAAGATTTTTTCCCCATTTTATCATACGCATTTATATATCTAAATGCACCACGAATATATATATATATATATATATATATATATATATATATATATATATATATATGCATATATCTTCATTGAAATATGTTTTATTTAATAATTTAGACATATTGTGTATTTATTTTTATACTGATCTTTTCTTCATGTCACCAAAACTACGGCCTTGATGAATTTCATCATAACATCAAGAAACTGATTAGACAACTGGAAAGGATTAGTATAAAAATAAATAGATACAATATGTTTATATTATCCAATGAAACATGTTTGAAGATATATATCTGTGTGTGTGTGTGTGTGTATATATATATATATATATATATGTGTGTGTGTGTGTGTGTGTGTGTGTGTGTGAGTGTACGTGAGTGTGTGTGTGAACTAGAAGGTTCCGTTAAGAGACGTCTATAAGGAATAATACCCGTTATACTTAATACACACAGAAAAGATCTATTAATCGATTTTCCATCAGTTCTAATCACTGTTACTGCACAATAATGAAAGTTTAGCCAGAAGAGATTATCACAATTCAAACATCATCTGACAAACAGCTTCTTTCTTATTAGCATTAGTCCCAGTTGTAAATCTATCAGTCGGCTTTTATCCTTTAAGTGAATCAGCCAAGTGACTATTTCTGTATCTTTGTGTTTCAATGTGTGAACGCCAGAGAAATTGGATTATGTTCATGTCAACATTCATCTCTACTTGCAAATATCGATGAAGAGTTGAACCCAAAGTAAAAAAAAAATGCGTTGCATATATTTTTATTTTTATTATTATATGTATGTGTAGTATATTCATTTGATTATGCCTAAACATAAATGAATGCGGCAAAGAAAAGGCGTGCTTCCATCACAGGTCTTACAGAGCTTAGAAATACCAAGAGTTCAAAACCTTTTGAAACGATAAGTTTCTAAAAAACCATTTACCCGAAAAATACTAAAAAATCCTTTAAAATATGTTATTTAAATTCTTAATGATGCTTATCATAAACTATTTGTGATTTGGGGTTTCTCCATCTCGCACATTCAAAACCCGGCCTACTACGTCATTATCACAGAGGCGAAATTGTCTTTTCTAAGATCATATGATACAAAATACGTTGTAAAGTATTTTGCAATATTTTGCGTAGTGCTCTAATAATAATGGCCGACATTATGAAAGGACAGTTATACTTTAAGCAATAAGTAATCATCAGTAGCCACTCCAATGACTGTGTAACCACCCAAAACGTTCAGCTACTATTGAATATAAAATCATCATTTGCTAATAACTTCAAGGGAAAAAGTGGCGAGATTCTTCTTAAGAATAAGAGACTATATATAAATTTACAATTTGAAATCAGTTCATTAGTACAAAGCATAACAAATTAGGAATAGTAAGAATGTTGCGAAATGTGCGGAATACAAGATTTCAACATTAAATTCTATTTAATACTTGGGTATATAAGGATTCAAATTCACTTACTGATAGATAGAACTGATCTATACGAAATCTTAAGTGAATTAAAGATAATCCGAAAGTCTTTTCAAATTTTACTATTAATTAATACGAAAGTTTGAAAATAAAAATATGAAACTGAATAAAAATACGAAAATATTAACGAAATAATAATATCCGATGAATTTGACGGTTCAACAGAAATATGAATAGTAAGTGGCTTGTAAAAGGAAGCAATTATACAATCGAAAATAATTATACGGTGATTAATATTAGTATTATCATATAAAATAAAACGAAGAGAGAGACTAGAGTTAAGAGAGAGAGAAAAAAATAGAAACAAGAGAGGGAGAGAGAGAAAACTACAAATAAGAAAGAGAAAAAGGAGAAAACTAGAAATCAAAGAAAGAAAAACTAAAAATAGACAGAGAGAGCAAAACTAGAAATAAGAGATAGGGGGGAAAACAAGAAATGAGAAAGAGAGGATGAGAAAAACTAGAAATTAGAGAGAAAGAGAACAAATCTAGAAATAAGAGAGAGAGAGAGAGAAAGAAAAACTAAAAATAAGAGAGAGATATAGAGAAAGAATAAAAATAAAGAGAGAGAAAAACTAGAAATAAGAGAAAGAGAGAAACTAAAAATAAGAGAGAGAGAGAAAAATAGAAATATGAGAAGGAGAGAAAAACTAGATATGAGGGAAAAAAAGAGAAAAACTAGTAATAAGAGAGAAAAAGTGAGACTTACTAAAAATAAGAGAGAGAAAGAGATATAAGACAGAGAGTGAAAAACTAGAAATAAGAGTGAGAGTGAGAGTGACTAAGTAGAAATAAGAGAGAATGGGAGAAACTAGAAATAAGAGAGAATGGGAGAAATGAACTAGAAATGAGATAAACTAGAAAGGAATTAGAGAGAAAGAAATTAGAAACAAGAGAGTGTGAGAAACTAGAAACAAGAGAGAGAGAAAAACTATATATAAGAGAGAGTGATAGAAACTAGTGAGTGAGAGAGAATAACTACCAATAAGAGAGAGGGAGAGAAACTAGAAATAAGAGAGAGAAGGAGAGAAATTAGAAGTAAGAGTTGAGGAAAGAAACCAGAAGTAAAATTGAATGGGAGAAATGAACTAGAAATGAGGGTACAAAACTAGAAAAAATAGGGAAAAACTAGAAACAAGAAAGAGAGAAAAACTAGAAACAAGTGATAGAGAGAGAAACTAGAAACAAAAGAGAGAATGAGAAAAGCTAGAAACAAGAGAGAGTGAGAAACTAGAAATAAGAGAGAGAGAACGTAACGAGAAATAAGACAGAGAGAAATGCTAGAAAAGAGAGAGAGAGAGAGAGAGAGAGAGAGAAACAAGAAATGAGAGAGATTGTGAGAAACTATAAATAAGGCGGAGAGAAAGAAACTAGAAACAAGTGAGAGAGAGCGTGACTAGTGCAAGAGAGAGAGAGAAAAAACTTGAAATAAAAGAGAAAAACATCTAAAGAGAGAACAACAACTAGAAATAAATGAGAGAAAATATCTAGAAATAAGATTGAAGAATTGAAAGAGAAAAAACTAGAAATAAGAGAGAGAAAGTAACTAGAAATAAGAGAGAGGGGACAAACTAGAAATAAGAGAGAAAGGGAGAGAAACACTATATATATAAGAATTCTTTGTTAGGAAACTGTTTGTAGATACGGTTCCGTTGATGTACTTTTGTAAAGAGGGTTGTTGTTGTCAAGAGTCTGGTTTCATTGATGTATTCTTTTCAGGTACAAAGTTTGTAGAGAAATTGATTTTAACATTCACATTTGATTTATAATTTTTGATAGTTCTACTGTTTTGAAAATTGATATTATATCATCCACTTTTACTTGCTTGAACAGCTCATACATATTGTTTATATTATAGTATTTTTGTCTTGAGCACACGGTTAATATATGTTTAATAGTATATGCCGTTTGGCATACTGGTTCATCTTCTTTGTTGAGTAAGTACAAGTGGGTTATTCTCATAAGGCCAATGCATACGCGAGCCACTATCACTTCTTCCTTACGAGATTTTCTGGGAGCTGACTTCTATTCTCCTAGTTTGGGGTGAACTGCGAAGTGTTTATTGTGTGGTTTATCATTCCAGTGTCGTTGTCATTCCTATTGAATGTATTTATTAATAACTTTCTTAAAATCTGTCTATGGGATTTTGGCCCTTGTATCCATTCACATCTAAAGCTGACATGTTTGCTAGGTTTGTTTAATATTGCCATTAACTCCAATGTGGTTGAGAATCAAGCATAGGTTGATGTCTTTATGCTTGTTAATAGTACTCATTTTGCATATTCTTCATTCAGTATGGGCTACACACAGGATTCCTAGGACTTTGCTACATTATGTTTTCAAATATTTTTGATAGCGAGATAATGCTGAGAAACTTCTGTTTTTCCACTACTGGGATTTCTGCTCCGTCTAATTTTAAACATGGTTCATTGTGCAATATTTTTAATTTGCAGAAATGTGGGCATTTGTTTTTTTTCGTTTTGGCAAACGTAAACCCATTTTCAGTGGCCCATTTGTGTATTTTATTTAGACATGGTTGTAGTTGTCTTTGAATGGAATTCATATGTCGAGATTTGTACATAATTAGAAAATCATCGACATATAGCATCTCACTCCTGGGCTTAGGGTTAATATGGAGTTAATTTTTACGCAAAAAAGCGTTACAGAAAGAATGCTTTCTTGTGGAATCCCTTCTTCATCTTGCAGTCCCGATAGCGTACTTCATATATGAACTTAGAGCTTTCCATCTTTAAAGAATATCCCTATAATTTGAATCAACCTTACTTTTAATCCCATTTCATGCAGATCTTTCAAAATACCAAATTTCCATGTTGTATCGTACGCCTTTTATAAGTAAAAAACTACCCTGAGATGCTTTCTTAATTGAAGGCTTCCCTTACAAAAGTTTCGAGGTGTACTAAGTGATCCATGGCACTTCTTTTCCTAAAAGTACATTGATTAGACCGTTAGTTTCCACGTACCAAGTCAACCTGTTTTTGACCATTCTCTCCATAGTTTTACATAGAAAAATTATTAGTGCTATCCAGAGCGATAGCGCCAATGAGTTGTCTATGAGCATTCAGTGTTGCCTATAGCTTTCAGGGTCAGTGTGTATGAGCATTCAGTGTTGCCTATAGCTTTCAGGGTCTGTGTCTATGAGATTTCAGAGTTGCCTATAGTTTTCAGGGTCAGTGTCTATGAGCATTCAGTGTTGCCTATAGCTTTCAGGGTCTGTGTCTATGAGATTTCAGTGTTGCCTATAGCTTTCAGAGTCAGTTTCTATGAGCATTCAGTGTTGCCTATAGCTTTCAGGGTCTGTGTCTATGAGATTTCAGAGTTGCCTATAGTTTTCAGGGTCAGTGTCTATGAGCATTCAGTGTTGCCTATAGCTTTCAGGGTCTGTGTCTATGAGATTTCAGAGTTGCCTATAGTTTTCAAGGTCAGTGTCTATGAGCATTCAGTGTTGCCTATAGCTTTCAGGATCTGTGTCTATGAGATTTCAGTGTTGCCTATAGCTTTCAGAGTCAGTTTCTATGAGCATTCAGTGTTGCCTATAGCTTTCAGGGTCTGTGTCTATGAGATTTCAGAGTTGCCTATAGTTTTCAGGGTCAGTGTCTATGAGCATTCAGTGTTGCCTATAGCTTTCAGGGTCAGTTTCTATGAGCATTCAGTGTTGCCTATAGCTTTCAGGGTCTGTGTCTATGAGATTTCAGTGTTGCCTATAGCTTTCAGGGTCAGTTTCTATGAGCATTCAGTGTTGCCTATAGCTTTCAGGGTCTGTGTCATCCTTTTCAGGTCTTGGAATAGGGATGATGAATAACTGTCTCTACATTTCTGGGAAGGTGCCACTTGTACATATGTTGTTATACAAATTTAGTAACAGTTGTGATGATTTGTTGGGCAACTGTTTTATGAATTGATAGTGGATATCACCTGATCCCACAGCTGTATTTTGGTATTTCTTTAAAGATTCACTTAGTTCCTCTATATTGAATATAGTTATAGATCTCAGCGTTATTTGATTTAAAATTTAATTTTTGTTTTTTGTTTTTTTGCTTTTTGTTCGTGCTTCAGAAATTATTGGATACCATTCTTGGCAGATGAGTTTTTGGAGCTTGTTTTTTCAACACTTCCATTGAATTATCTTAATAATTCAATGGAACTGCTGCGAAATAAAAGTAAATATAAATGAACTGCTTCTGTTAATAATAGACCTGTCACCGGCAGTTGTTTAAACAGAATGGCTGTTTAAACGTTTTCAGCCTTTAGCTTATGTGATTTTGATTTTTTTTCCGAGGTTTTCGTTTTGAAGGTTTTAGCCATTTGAGTGTTCTGACTTTCCACCTCCATCTTTTCTAGTTCGTCAAATCGTTTTTGCGTAGGAATTTAGTCGTTGTAGATTTCCGATTTTTGTTTGACGAATTCTGTTCTTTTGGGAGATAAGCTTTTCATATTTTTTTTTTTTTTTACCTGGGTTTTGGTGGACGAATAGGATATCGCTGTGACCTTACTTTAGTAGGAGATTTGGTATTTTTGGTAGGAGTAGTTTGTGTTTGAGCTGTCGTTTTGCCATTTGTTATTTTTGTTTGTTTGTTTTTTTTTTTTTACTTTATTATTTCAGTTTTTTCATTGTCCTTCTTTTGCAGTTCAGGTTGCAATATAGCCTGTAATATATGGAATATAGACTTTTTAAGTAAGTTTGAAATTTGGGCCAATCGTTTGTTCCAAGTGGGGGTTCCATATTTGTCAGGCTGATCGACATTTTTGTAGTTTTATTTTCCGTTATTTTTGCCTAGAAAGGGCATTTCCTATAAACTTCTACTACTTACCATCAGAGGCTTCTTTTATATTTTACTTCGACAATTTCCCTTTCCTTTTTCCAGAAATCACATGTTCATGAGTGTGCTAGATGGATTTCTCGCAGTTAGCACATCTTATTTCATCGTGGCCTTCTTCCTCAAAATGGTCTAAATCCCTTTGGCCACATTTTCCCCATGTTAGGTGACTCCTGCAGCTATCCCTATGATGTCTAAATTGTTTGCACCTAAAGCATCTTAGTGAAGCAGAGATATATTGTACCACTAACACAATATTAAACCTTATTTTTATTATTTGTGGGATTTCTGGTGTGCCAAAAGTAAGGATATATGTGTCAGTTATAATTGTTTCCCCTTTTCTTTTAATTGAGATTCTATGGTAATCGCTGACCCCTTGGCTTCCTAAGGCAGATGTAATTTCCTCAGATGACATCTCTTTACTTCTAATGACACCGTTTTTCTAGGATCATGAGCCCAAAAAACATTGGAAATTCCATATTAATTTCTTTTTTAAGAATCAAAGTCTGAATGACATCACTTGGGCTTTTTATTTTGATTATTCATAATTTTTGTGTATTAAGATTCACTGCATGTGCTCCCCACCCACCTACAAACATTGGGAGGGTTTTACTCTGCATAGATGAAGTCGCCGTATTCTGAAGCCCCAGCCAACAGAGTGGAAGAGAGAGAGAGAGAGAGAAACTAGAAATTAGAAACAGAGTGAGAGAAAAACTACAAATATGAGAGACAGTAAGAAACAATAAGTAAGAGAAAGGGATAAGAAATAAGAAAGAGAGAGGAAGTGGAGCAAAGAAGAAAATAAGAAAATAAAGAAAAAAAAAATATCCTACCATAGAATTATTCAAAATATCCTACCATAGAATTATTCAAAATTACTTCATCAACTGACACTGATAGCTAAATTGAACTTTACGCAGGTGGAGTGTCACTAAAACAAAAAACATCATCGATTTGGCGATGTGTTTAGAATACACAATTTAAACATAAAAACGACATTATGAAATATTTGAATATAAAAATTGGAAGATTCAATTGCATAAGGAATTAAAATATATGCAAAAAAAAAAAGAAAATGATTGAGGCAGTAAATCAAAATATTTTAAATTATATAATAGGATGTTTAAGATAAACCTAAATAAATCTGACAGAAAAATAAATGGAAAAATCAATACAAAACCTAACATGAAAGAGAAACTGAATATGTTGGTCAAAAAGTGACAAAACTTCGAAAAGGCAAAATCTTGGATTATAAACCCCAAAACAAAACAAAAAAAAACAACAAAATAGGAATTAAGCCAACACTAAGAAGATTTCAAGAGACAAACAAAAGAAGTTGTATAGAAATGACAAGCCGAAGACATTTTACGTATTTGAGAAGAAAATTTGAAGAGAAAATTACATCTATTAGCCACTCAGTGTATAAGAAAATACATAAAGAACAAGAGTAAAATAAAGTAAATGTCACCCGTTTAAATACAGTGATTAAGTGTTCAATTATAAGTAAATGTAATAGATTAACACAAAAGAAATACAAAAAAGGTGTGACTGGGAAGGAACGATAATCCTTTGGGAATTGTGAAAAAGATTAAGATTTGTCGATGAAAATC